GTTTCCAAGAACTGGAATTTGGTTCTTGGTGGAAAGGTTAAAGTCAGGAACTGGAAATTGGTTCTGGTGTTAGAGTAGGTGTAAGATTGTTGAGTCTGTAAAACATCTATTCTAATGGAACCCAGCTGGAATTTGGCTGGAGACTGGACGTAGCCCTGGTATTGGGTGAACCAGGTATAAAATTACCGGTGAAATCTTTCCTAACCTTTCTCTCTTTAATTTCAATTGCTTGCGCTTGTATTGTTTAATTGCTTTGTGATTCGTGAATTGATTAGTAAACTTAATTTTCGAATTAGATAATCTGAGATTTGCGAAAAACTTTCAAAAATCAATTCACCCCCCTCTTGATTTAAAACTACTTTTCTAACAATATATATATATATATATATATATATATATATATATATATATATATATATATATATATATATATTACAAATACACAACACCCCCATATCATCTCCTAACTCATCACACATGTCATTTTCTTACATTTATACTAATCTAGATTTGTTTTGGACTTGTCGTCGCCGTCAAAACGAGGCGGTCGGAGCGACGCGATGGTTCCTACTTTCCAATGTTCGCGTTTTTATGGGTGTGATTACAACGCCTTTAGGTTGTCCGATAACCGGGCTGAACCTAGAGGCGAGGTTTTTGAAAAAGTGTTCTTGGATTGTCCGATAACCGGGCTAACCCAAGAACTAACTTTGAAGGGTTCTTATGGAGTCGCCACCGATGTTTTTACTGGAAACATCGAAAAAGGAGTAAAAAGGCATTAGTTTTCGAAAACCAACTTTGGTCGTTAAAACCAGAGTTTAGGTAAGGGAGTTAGTTATGTGTAAGGGAAGTGTTAGTTCCCTTACGACGCCCCTTTCGGGTTCCCTATGATAGGCCAACTATTTTAATAAATAAACTTATGAAAAGACGCTTTTACCCTTTTATTTGCGGAATTAAAATAATGACTACATGGCCCTAATATCTATTACGCAATTTAAATATAAAATTAAAGGCAATAAAGAGAGGGAGAGAAAGAAGAAACCTCTGAAGCAAGCTCTTTGATTAATTTCTTGAAAACTAGGGTGCGTTTTGGCAACCTTTCACTCTTTACAACGCCGAAAAAACTCTCGGAAACGCTATAAAATTTCTAAGAAACTCTCAGAAACTTCGGAAATGCTTCGGAGGGGTTCTAAGAAGAGAATTTTAAGAAGTTGCAAGAGAGAAAGTGGAAGAACTGTGTGAAATGAGGGTGAAGGCGCGGCTATTTATAGGGATTCGCGCCTGTCAGGTCGAGACGGCCGTCTCGTCTGACAAGGTCGAGACGGCCGTCTCGCCCAACGAGAGGGGGGTCTCGCCATTCGCAGGTGGCGAGACGGCCGTCTTGCCAAACGAGACGGCGGTCTCGACCTGCAGGAATAGCGAGACGGCGGTCTCGATCCCTAAAGGCGAAAATTCTTATTTTAATGCAGAAAAACCTTCCTATCCTAATATGGGGCCTAATAGTCTCTTCTAATAGCTTCTTATGCTTCATTCATCTTCGAAAATGAGGTCTTCTGGTCTTATTATGAGGTCGGGCAAGATTTGGGGTCTACAGGACTAAATACTATAATTATGTATTTTTCTAATTTGACATTTGCATACTCTTTTTATCATAACTTTCTCTATATATATTACTTTGGGCTAATTCTTCTTTCATTGGATTCATCAATTTTTAGGCTTCAAATTGAATATATGGAACATAAAATTTTGAGTTTAGAGCTATTTTTAATTATTTTTAGAAGTTTGAATAGAAAATATCCCAAGGATTTCGCTTTGTGAAAATTCAATCACGTCAATTCTCTGGCATGAGTGAAGATAGTCTCGCTTGAGTGAAAATAGCCTAGCTTGAGTGTAAATTGGATTGACTTTACTCTCGCTTAAGCCAAAAAATTTCGCTTGAGCAAACTCCCACCACCTCAAGCCATCTCTTCTATCGTCTTGCCCTCGTTCAAGCGAATTAGGTCTCGCTTGAGCGAAAATTGGTTTACGAAGTGAGGCTTTTATGAGGTTCCTACCTTTCTCCATCCCAATACCCAAAACTACAACTCATTTGTACCGCAAACACGTAATAAGAATATTATACAACACCAAAACCCATAAATACTCATTTCTATTATCATTACAACACACAAGAACACACACACACATGCATATATATATATATATATATATATATATATATATATATATATATATATATATATATATATATATATATATACTCCCTTCTCAGACACATTATTACTTAAATAATAAACTCCCTTTGGATATTTCTAAATCCTAACTTCTCTATATGTATGTGCAGCCCACAATCAATACTCGGGTTCCGAAACCTAAGTAACACCCCAACATAACAATGATATATTTTAATATCTAGATTCCCTCTTTAAACTTATAAATAACCACAAAATAGCATAATTGACTTACCCATTCAAAATTTTGTTCAGACAGAATCCCTTATTAGCTTTTTAACTTCCTCTTATCACTTTCGGATTTAAAATCCACTAGAGTTCTAGTACTTTAAATTTAGAAAAAACATATAGTGGTGTATTCTAAGAAGATGAATGTTTATAAAAACTATTCAGCTTAACCTTCTATTGATAGAAGTTTCCAAATATGAAAAGATTAATCCTTATAACATATTAGACACAATTTTCTTTTTATTATAATATAAATCATATAGAAATTTCTTTTGACTTTTATCACATAATACCTTTTCTATAAGTTAAGTATCAAGTCACACTTCAAATTTTATATTTAAATTCAATATATTTTTTATATAATAAAGTATTTGTCGTGAGAATTCCTATATTTTACTTTCGCAACATATTTTATTTTATTTAGTATTTATTAGAGGACTATATATGTTAGAGAATATAATGTAATAATAAAAAATAATTTTAAAAATATTATTTATCAATAATAATTTATTACATATTAACCAATTACCCAATAATATTTACCAAAATGACTATAATACTACAGTAACAATTAATGACTATAATTTAAAGATCCTTTAACTATCATTAAAAGATTTTTCCTAAATGAAAAAAATACAAAAATAATTAAGAAAAAAAATCCATAATACAGTATGCAAAATTTCAAAATTTTATATTTAAAATTTTTTAGAATAAAGTTAAAAGTTAATAATGTATATTTCTAACATATATATAATTTAAGAAATATTCATTTTTCTCATAAATGAAACACTTTTAAGAAAATGTCCCCCTTTTCTTTGATACTTTATTATTATCTTTAACCTTTTGGTGGTATTCCAAATCAAAGACAGCAAAATATCGTGACAAATACTCAAATCAAAAGCAATGGATATCCCTCTTCTAGGATATTCTAAGTAACATTTTCTACTTAAATTTGGAAAATAAAAAATTATAACAATAATAAAAAAATTAAGAGAAAAAAATATATTTCAAAAACTATATTAATTTATATGTAAACTAATGTATACAACTTGTCTTATACTGTTTTAATAATGAAAAAAAGTTTATTTATTTTTTCTTCTTAAAAATCCACATAAAAAGGTTTATTACTTAATTATTATTATGGTTGTTTAAATTTTATTATTTATTATATTTTATATTTTACGTTTAAACTGTTCAAGTTGTACATATTTTATCAACTTGTGAATTCTAAGTGGATATTATCGCGTCAAATAACGTTATTCTATTACAATTTTTTTATAATGATATTAATATGACATGTTAATCTTGTTACAAGTTTAATAGATTTAAAATTCATTATTACATGGGTATAAAAATAAATAATAAAATTTATAAAATAATTATTGTTAAATGGTAAAACATATAATAATCAATAAAATTGAAAAATATTTTATATTTATAATTTGATTATAGTATTATTGTTATTATTTGATTTGAGAAAGAAAATAAAGCAAAAGCAAGGAAAAGGTGTGGACTAGGGGGTGATGGTATTTTCTTAAAGATAAGATTTCTTTCATTGAAGTGGGACCCATCTAGAAGTTATCATTAATCACACCTGTATCACCATCAACCTCCACCAACGTCAAATAATCATAATAATAATTAAAACATCAACGCTAAATATTTTTAATGTGTTCTTTTTTTTTTATCTAATTACAATAAATTTTATTTTAACAAAGTCTACTTAATGGAAATTAAAATATTAATTTTGCATCCATAATTTTTAACAAACTAATTTTTTTCTCGTCCCTATCAACAGAGACAACACTTTATCCATAATGTTCTTTTTTGGAATATTATTATCATTATTATCGGGATATTTCTTTCATATATGAAATATTAATATTTTTTTGTGAGATTGATAGTTGAATTTTGTTTTACTCATATTTTTTATTTTTATTAATAGATTCATGTTTTCGTATGTTTATAAATTTTGTATAATTAAAAATAATTATATATATATTATCTTATTGGGAGATTTGTTAAGGATAAAAATTACAATTATAATACGAAATTATATATTAAACACAAGAAAATGAAAAATATATGCACCATTGACTATAACCACAATACATGCTTCAGTTGTGCCCCATTACTCGTTCAAGACAAGACAAAAAAGAAAAAGAAAGTTAAAAAAATCAGTTTAAGGTTAATTAAAACAAAAAATTGGCTGTAACATCGCAACCTTGTTTTATGATTGTGTGGGCTACCTTAATTGAAGCGCAGAATCTTCATTTGTGTTATTATTCATCGGAATAGTAGGATCAGTGGAGTGTTATATTTGGTGGGACCCACTCCAATCACGCCTTGAAAAATCCAGAAGGGGATAAGAACAAAGAAAAAAGAAACCCATCTCCATTATCATCAAGAACTGTATAAAAATATAAAATAACCTGGTGAAGATGACAAAGTAGGTTATTTATCCATTCATAAGAAACCAACACAGAGTGGTTTTTCACTCACGGTTTCACAGCACTACCACACTTGGCAAAAATTATCCATACAATGGGTTCTCTTATGGCAGGATGGGACTCTAAATCAGGTAACACAAAATCTGGTTCTGTATTGGATAACAAAACAATTATAATTCATGTTAAAATCGAAACTATTTTAAATATTTTTGCGCTTTGTGTTTAATCCATTTTTTTCTTTTTTTGTAAGTAATTTGTGATAAGGTTTTTGAAATTTTCAGCCACACTTAAAAGGAACCGTTCACTCACCAAAGATGAAATTGATGCTTTCTGGAAATCAAAGAAGAAGATAGAGGAAGAACACCTTACTGCTATTTCCAGTTCACCAAACTCTCTGCAGGTTTAAAAAGTTGCAACCTCTATGCCTTCGTTTCTTCTTCAACAAATAATACATATTTTCACTCTCATCTAATTATTATAAATTATAATATATAATAACTATTTTCTTATTTTGGTTTGTGATTTTTATGATGCAGAATGAACAGGGTAGCAGAAAGAAAGAGACTGAGAGGAAGTTTCAGAAATCAGTAAGCATGCCAGTGACACGTGTACGTGACTACTTAAATATGGACCTGGTTGACACGAGTTTGGAGCAGCTTATCAAGAAAAATGGCTGGTAATTAATATAAACTTTTCATATAACATAGTTTTAGAATTCATTAATTAATTAGATTTTGAATATTATTAATTCATGCATGCATGTAGGTGGACCAAGAGTAGCTGGGCATTTCTGAATGAACCTCCACTGAATGAAGCTGCAGCCAATAAGTACACATCACAGTTTCACGTTGCCAACATGGGATCATCAAAATTTAACCCACAAAATGGAATTAGTGCTTGATTTAAATATTATTATATTAATTACACTAATTATTAATAAACTACTCAACCATATATATATAATATGAGGAGTGTTGAAGTAATATTAGTGAGGTTAGTTTGGTGTTGTTCATGTTAAATGAACTATTGAGGAATTTGGTGTGTGTTTGGTTTGCGAATTTGAAAGCAACAAATGGAGAAAGAGCTTGTAATGGTGGTTATATTCAAAGTAAAATTTTCTTTCTTTTTTTCTTCCAAACGAACCCTTAGGTATGATAGATGTGATTATATGCTATAGTTATGTTTTGTCGGTCCAAGTCTTCAACCTCAACTTGTAATGTGTGGTTTGTTTGAAGAGGGTAATGAAATAATATGAGAACGATTTGCTTATTATTTTACAAGCACTAGTGCAAAAAGGGGCTTTTACGTCAGGTATTTAGGGCTTTTTACGTCGTATTTAAGTCCGACGTAAAAGCGGGAGACGTAAATTTACGTCGGACCCTTTTACCCGACGTAGATTTACGTCAGTTATGAAGATACGACGTAATTTTGCGTGGCATATACAATAAACAGACGTAAAAACCTTTTCAATTTAAAAAAAAAAAACAGAAAATTTACGTCGCATACAGTATATACGACGTAAATTTACGTCGCATACAGTATATACGACGTAAATTTACGTCGCATATACCATATGCGACGTAAATTTACGTCGCATACAGTATATACGACGTAAATTTACGTCGCATATACCAATATGCGACGTAAATTTACGTCGCATATTGGTATATGCGACGTAAATTTACGTCGTATATACCAAGATGCGACGAAAATTTAACTGTTTTTTTTTTAAAATTGGGTTTATTTACTCGCTTTTACAACTAAAACCTGCAAAAATTACAACCAGACAATTCAGAAGCAGCTTTTCTTTTGCTAGTAAATTAAAAATATAATATTATATAATTCAAACTACATAATAAAACAAAATAATACAAACATACAAACTAAAAAATCTATTACAAACTAAGCTACCTATACAAACTAAGCTACCTATACAAACTAAGCTACCTATACAAACTAAACTAAACTACATAATACACACAATATAATATGAACAAGAACATAAAAAATAATGTACTAGAATTGTAGAACAAAAAATTTTGCCCATTGTTCTCTAATTTCGTAATCTCAGATTCTGGTAATGGAGATGGATCTTGAAATACCTGAAACATGAATTTGACTCTTGTAAGCATGCAACATGAATAAAGTTAAATAAACTTAACTAATGTTAAAAGTAATTACCTCCGTCCAAGAATCAATTAAACCCGCACAAACTATGGCTCTCATCCAATACATTACATAGTAACCACATTCAAACGAGTCAGCTTGCTTATTACACTGAAATGATGAAAAAAACATAATATTATTTTCAAAATTGAAATATAAACAATAATTATGGTATTCACTTATATAAATAAGTTTCTAACCTTAGGATAAATGAACTGCAATGTCTTTGTTCTAGGTTTTCCACTTAGAACATTAGTTCCAGACACGATTCTAAGTGAAAAAAAGTCATATATTATTCAATATGTATTCACAATTTAAAAACATAATTAATGAATAAAAGATAAAGTTACCCTTGTAATAAGCTTTTCATTTCTTGACTCGGTTTCCGATGTAATGAACAAAACCATACCACAGTGTAATCCTGGGTATGATTACAATTAACTGCCAATGGGACCTACATTGTATGACATAAAAATTAGTTACAAAAATATAAATTAAAATACAAATTAAAATACTAACCCTTCAATGTATGGAGCCAAATATATATGTCTTCTTGAGTCACTCATCCATGTTTGCATATATTGTTGGATTCCAACCTTTGTATTTCCAGGATTTTTGGATGGATTGAGGCTCAATAAATCCGTATACTTCGGATTTTTCTTGTTCCACACTCAAATTGTCAAGGTACCTAAAACAATTAATTATAAGTTGAATATAATTATTATAATCTTAGAAACATAAATGAAAATGACTTACATTGCCCACAATTGTATGATGGAAATGTTTAACATGCAATTTCCCCCAGCAATTTCTAAAGCATCGGGCAAGGAAATGTACAATGGAACACTGGAATTGTCAATTCCAAACACTCTAACATCCCATTGTATCTGACACGGTCTCTTCCTCAACCGTGGTAATACGGCTAACAACATAGAGATGGGATCATCATCACATTCTGTCAGATCCTCATCAATAATAGGTTGCTTTTTATGCTTAGCACGACGCAAGTCCTCCTAAACAAATGATAACATCATATATTTTCTCTTCATGCATAACCAAGGAGGCAAATTGTAAATGATCAACATAACTGGCCATGAACTATGTTTACTACTTAAATTTCCATAAGGATTCATCCCATCTGTAGCTAATCCAATTCTCAAGTTTCTTGGCTCTGCACCAAATTCTGGAAAGGTTTCATCAATCCTTTTCCATTGTGGAGAATCAGCTGGATGTCGAAGAAGATTGTCACATTTTCTACCATTTGCATGCCATGTCAAGTTTCTTGCATCTTCTTTTATGGCAAATAATCTTTTAAACCTAGGTATAATTGGCAAATACCATAACACCTTAGCAGGGGGACCATCTAGTTCTTCCTCACCACTACTTTCCTCAACTTTGGTTTTGAACCTCGACAAACCACATGTCGGACACATCTTTAATTTAGCAAAATCATTTCTGTACAATATACAATCATTAGGACATGCATGTATTTTCTTGTACTCTAAACCCATTGGACATAATATCTTCTTTGCCTCATAGTTACGAATAGGTAATGTATTATCTTCAGGAAGCATCTCCTTCAACAACTCCAATAATTCGGTGAAACTTTTATCAGTCCATCCATTTCTTGCTTTTAAAGTAAACAATTTTAAAGTTGCTGATAATCTTGTAAAACTACATCCTATGTACAATTGTTGCGCAAAATCAGATTTCAAAGAATCATATAGATGTGCTTTCATAAAATGTTCTTCACCAATATCACGTATCATATCCTCTAGATTATCATCCATCCCTTCATCAAAATTGTCTGTAGTTGACACAGTTGGGATGTCTAATATTTCTCCATGCCATGTCCATATTGTATAACTCTTAATAATACCATAAACAAACAAGTGATCACGTATATCCTCAAGTTTATGACGAATTTGATTCAAACAACGAACACATGGACAATAATATGTCCCTTTCATAGCTTTTCCATTTTCACTAGCAAATTTCAGAAATTCCTCAACTCCCTTTTCGTACTCTTCACTAATACGACGTGCATTCATCCAACTTCGATTCATATTATGTTATAAAGTTTCGTCACTCCTAAAGATTTAAAAATTATATGTAAAAAAAAATTAATATACAAACAACAAAGCACGTTCCAACAACAATGGAGTGTGTAAACCGAATGCACTCAAACAAATAAACAAATAACTCGCATTCCAATAACAATCCAAGTGGAGACATTCATACTATAACGTGATTGAGATCCCCAAAAACAATCACGGATTCAATGTAAACATATAGCAATGACAATGAACACTAACCTCGAGTGTAGACGAAAACTGATTTCAAACTCGAATCCAATCGGGGAGAAAGATGAAGTTCGTCAAATGACACGACAATGTAGATGTTTTTCACTCGTAAACCGCTCGCAAATGGTGTGCAGAGGTAGCCGTTGTCGTCGTTCTCGTCGTCGTTCTAAAAACCCTGGTTGCGCGAGAGGAGGAAGTGGGCTGGGAGGGAAATAAAATAGACTTTTTACGTCGCGCAGTGTAGTAAGCGACGTAAAAGTCATCTTTTACGTCGCACCTGGAGGCGCGACGCAAGATGGCCTTTTACGTCGCTGCAGGGGACGCGACGTAAAAGCCTTAGCTTTTACGTCGCGCCCCTGCACGCGACGTAAAAGGCCATCTTTACGTCGCGCCTCCCAGGTGCGACGTAAAGATGACTTTTTACGTCTCATATTGGGGTGTGCGACGTAAATTTTTTGTCCCGTATTTACAAAATTGCCACCGCGTTTTATTTACGTCGAATATACGTGCATGCGACGACAATTGGGTGACGTAAAAGCCATATTCTGCACTAGTGAAGCATGATTGTTAGCTTATCTATCAATTTCAAAGTTTAAATAATATTAAATATTTTTTAATTATATCTTATAATTTTTACATTAAATATTTAATTAATTTAATTTGTGGAAATGTTATATGCTTTAGAAAAAAAACTTGTTTAGTGCATGCACTTAGGTTTTTTATTTTAGTTATTTTTTATCGGATAAATAAATAAGAAAAATATTATGACAATTTCTAAAATAATTGAGATAGGATAATCTATTCAACAACAAGAAAAAGAAAGTGCTAGAACAGAAAATGAACATAAGGAAAAAAAATGAAGAAAGGAAAGATGAAATATAATAGAAAATATTTTATTTGTTTAAAAGAAAAACAATATGGAAAAGAAGGAAATTGTTCATTTTAAAAAATAGTAAATAATTATATTAAAATTAAATATTTATTCAATTAAAAAATTATTAATGTAATTAGTAATTAATTTTTTATTAATAAAATAGTTTTCTAAAGTAATATAGTTAAATTATATATCTTATTTTTTTTAATAATATATATTTGATATATCATTATAAAATATTTTTTATTATAATCTATTTCTAAAATTATTTGAAATTAAATTAATAAAATAATATAACATTGCAAACAAATAAAAAATATTAAGTTATTTATTTAACTTTTATAATCACTTTCATAATATTTTATTAAAATAATAATTAAAAATATATACATTCAAATTATATATTAAAATTATAAATATAAATAAATAATCATTTATTTATGTGATAATAATTTTATAAACTACGTGAGACACTACAAGAAATATTAAAATTACCGACGGTCAAAATCTGTCGGTAATAACAAAAATCCGTCTGTAAATATGTTATGAAATTACCGA